ATTCAAGGCCGCTGTCAGCCTCACTCCAGAGGGCCACCCAGAGATGCCTCAATACCTGCACAATCTCGGAAATTGTCTGCATCTCCGTTTCAACACGCTCAAAAACCCTCATGATTGTGAAGAGATGCTGCTCCAATATAGCTGTGCTGCCTCCTCCCTAACTGGTTCAGCTCATGTCAGATTTCAAGCCTCCAGGAGGTGGGCACACTACGCCCACAGTTATAAGGACCCATCCCTTCTCCATGCATACACCACAGCTGTTGAACTCGTGCCCAAAGTGGCTTGGCTTGGTCTGTCCATCAGTGACTGACATCACCAGCTTTCGGAGGTAGGCCAACTTGTGAGGGATGCTGCCTCAGCAGCAATTGAGGCCCATGAATACAGCAAAGCAGTGGAGTGGCTCAAACAAGGTCGTTCAGTTATCTGGAGCCAGTTCCTCACCCTGCGTACCCCAGTAGATGACCTCCACATGGTCCATCCCAAGCTTGCAGCTGAACTTGTCTCCATTTCAAACCTCTTGGAAACTTCTGGCAGACGTAGTGGTATAGAGGCAGCCAGCTTTGGGCCCTCACAGTCACTCCAGGCGACTGCACATCAATATCATGAGCATGCTGTTCGAAGAGACAAACTGCTCCAGCAGATCAGAGGCTTGGCTGGGTTTGAACAGTTCTTATTGCCAAAGCCAATTGCTGAGCTTTCTGCTGCTGCAACAATTGGCCCTGTTGTCCTGGTGAATACCAGCAGCTATCGCTCTGATGCTCTAATCCTCATTCCCGGTGTTGGGGACGAAGTTATGCATGTGCCACTCCCTGATTTCACATTGGATCAGGTACAGCATTTGACTGAAGCCCTGGGATCCTGCTCGCAGTGATAGGTTGGATGCTCGCCGCGAGGATGAGTTGCCTCCGGATGAGGAGTTTGCACGCATTCTCTCTGCACTCTAGATGAAGATTGTTAAGCCTGCCCTCAATGGCCTCGCTTTGACGGTAAGCCATGTTGACCAGATGAAGTAATTCAGGTTCTTATATTCAGTATAGAATCCTTCATATGAGGATCCCGGACGTATATGGTGGTGTCCCACAGGGCCACTTGCCTTTCTCCCCATCCATGCAGCAGGCCACTATGGCCAAGAGGCAGCCTTTGGCTCAAAGTTATCCGCCTTTCTCATTTCATCCTGCACACCATCATTGTCTGCTTTAATCAATGGCTTCCGTGCCAAACAGGAATCACAGGATGGACTCCAGCTCCTTGCCGTTGCCCAGCTATCTGCAATTGGACAGAACCCAATTCCTGGAACCATCAAGGAGATTGCCTCTATTGAACAGCTTGCCCACGGAGTAATCCCAGTACTGCGTTTAGAGCGGGACATGGCAACTGTGGAAAGTGTTCAAAAAGGCATGAGGGAATCTTGCTGGGCACACTTTGCATGTCATGGACTACAGGATATTTTCACTCCAACAAACAGTGCCCTCCTCCTTGCTGGAAGTTCAAAGTTGACACTTTCAGACATTATCCAGCTACAGCTCCCACATGCTGATCTAGCATTCCTGTCTGCATGTCAAACTGCCACTGGTTCCAAAAATCTTCAAGATGAATCAGTTCATCTCACTGCAGGCAATGAACTACTGTACTGCGGGTTTTCCATGGGTTTTTATACTACTTTCTAAATAAATTACAAACGGCAGATGTGTAACAGGAAATCAGAGAGACTGAGTAATATGGAAGCTGGTACGGTATTTGTCCTACTGTGCTGTGTGTACAGCTCAGCTTCGGCCAACAGTGCCTGTTCAATCCCTCGGATCAGCGATCACTGCAATGCTCTTGTTTGGTCTCCCGCGGGCACGCGTCCGTCACATGGGTCTATTTCCAGAGTACTGAGTCCGCGGAAACTCTCCGCGGGCTCTCGCTCATCAACTTTGGCAGTCCGCGGAGCCTTCGCCCCTTGGTTTGTCAGGTATCTAGTCAGAGTCCGCTTCCGCGGACTGGTTAGTCCCGTGCGTTCGGACACTACTAGTCCACAACTGTTCGTCTAGGCTTTTAAATGTTTAATCTCCTTGGTATGGCATCTAGCCAACAGGGCAAGCCATATCCCAGAAATACAGGAATAACTCTGTCTGTGCACGTATACGCCCCGTGGAGCACTATGCTGACCCTCAATGGTAAAAGGACCGAGCCTTAGCATGCCCGCGACTGGATACATGCTCTGGCATCATTAATACACAGCTAGCAGCTCGGAGCGCATTCTAACTCTAATTGTATATCACCGGGCAGGGGCCCCGCGGAGTCGTAATACACCGCTAAAAGAATGAATTTACAGCCGGTTGTATCCAGGCCGTATCAGCGGCCAAATTGGCCAGCCATGGAAATATGCATTAATGCTATATTTGGCATTCCTCCACAGGGCTATCATGGGCTCTGCATGATCAGCTATCAGGCCATATGATGCCGACTACCAAAGAGCTTTACTCTATCCACTATATCCACTCTGTGAATGATGGTTGAAGTCCTGGGACTTACTTTGGTGTATAAAAGTCTGCCAAGTGTAGTATTGTTTGTGCGAAGTACGCGACGCGATGCCTCACGTGATCATCGCGGGAGTTCCGGAGGATCGACAGGTGTCGGAGTTGGCCAGGACATGCTTACTCTTGATGATGACTCATCCCCGAGTTCAACAAAGTAAGCCGTAATGAAGTAACCGAGCATCCTGTATGGAAGTTTCGGGTATGAACAGAAAGCTATGGATAGCCCGGAGCTGTTCCGACGTTTGAGAGTGTAAAGGGAGGTACTTGAATGAGGTTATTCAGTACTCAACCTGTGAAACAGGGGAAAGTACTATGACTTTAATTCAGGAACCTGTATGACATTCAGGAGCAAGCCCCAACCAATGGCATAATTGCCTGATCGCACCTGATCCATTATCCAGCCTGTTAGGAATTATATAGACCCAGGATCACTTAGTAATAGATTAACACTTTTAGTATATATAGCCAGCCATTTTGTAGTATTTCCCCCATGAATGTCAGCCGGAGGGCTGTGAGTGAGTGCCTCCTAACAAGGGGCACTTAGTCATAGTCTGATGGCTGGAGTGCACTCAGTGGGACTTTGGTTCACAACTTTATATCTGTTTGATGGATTATTGTTGAGACTAAGTTGTTTGAGTACAAGTCAGAAGTCGCAACCCTGGTTAGTGTGTGAGGCAACCACCATTGTCCCTCTCCACGTTTTAAAGGTTTGGCTGAAGGCAACTGTGTGGGTCTTCCTGATGAAGGTCCTGAGTACGACTGCGTGGGTCTTCCTGATGAAGGTCCTGAGTACGATTGCATGGGTCTTATTGAAGGTCCTGAGTACGGAATAATGGGACTTGTGTCCAAAAACCCGAACTTCGGTTCAAACAACTTGCCGGCCCACCAGCCGTTACTTGTGCCTTACAGCTGAGAAGCTACAAATCGAACCAAACCTGTTACTCAGTCTCGATCATTGACCTGGTCAATTCGTTGTGATGTGGACTGCGGTGCTTCAAACTGCCAGATGGTGGGGAGATCCGGGCTATGTTTAAATGCTCGTCCTCTAGGGGGAATTTGTTCTGTCGCGGTAGACAAGTATGTAGGAGGTTTTAAATATTATTGGTGGGGATATCCGTACAAGGATTGAACAATTCGTTCAAAATCCTGCTAGCTAGGGTGGAATGAACAAACTCCGAAGCCTAGTTAGCTTTCTGGGGTTAACGGAGATTGAATCTGTTCTACACTTCCTCGGAGGAGGAACTCCGGAAGGCGATGTGGGGTCCAATTTGTCAAGTCCGAGGTGAGATACGGTTTTTAGGGCTTCTTGGACCTCAAACCACGGTCGTCCGAAGTATATTTGGGTTGTTGATTGTAGACCAGGGGAGTTATGTGTCCATGGTACCATTCCCACAAATTTCTCCTCCTTTTTACCCCTCTTTGTGCCTCTATAGAGTTTCCTCTCTCTACTTCCAACCCGTTCGCTTGCTGAAGGCGACTTCCTGCGGGCTCTGCACCGCCAACTTCCTTAGCTAGCAGCTACACACAAACTCCGAAAACTTGTTGTGCCGCTTGAGAGATTTCACTGCCCTACTAATGTAGGGGAGGAATAGAAGGTTCGATAGTCGATGTTGAACTTATGCCGAAATGAAACTCCGATCGCTGTCTGAAGGCGGTGAGGGAGTACCGGAGGTCGATTTACTGTATAACTCGACTCCGGGTGACCTCTAGGTGATGTTTGGGCAGTTTTTAGCTACTCCTAAGCTGGCTAAGGCTTAGAAGCTGAGAATGTGGGCCGAAACTGAGATGATATTTTGCTAGACAAGCTGTAGTATTTATACCCCCAGCCCAAGGCTGTGCCGGAGTTGCTCCTTTGTGTCCCAAATCCCGCTCGTTCACACGCGAGCTCGCTCGTGACTCACTATGGACCCCGGGAGGCTATGTCCACCCTGTGCCCTTTACCAGTTACCGACTCCGTGGTCCGGGCTCGCTCACCCTAGCCCCGGACGTACCTCCTCTGATCCTAGCTCCCCTCCGACCTTGATTCCACCTGCGACGGCTCGATGGTGCAGAGGTAGCGCACTCCGCACTGTTCACCCCAGTGTTTGACCATTTTGGAGAGACCCGGAGTTTGCTCCTCTGTCGAGCCATTCTCTTGCACGATCCACCTTTTTCATCTACTCGGAGTTCCTGTCGGTCCTCCAGTTTATAGGCATTCACGGCTCGATGGCGTAGCTGGAACGCGTCCTGTCTTAGTGCTCTTGCACAAGCACCTTTTGCAGGAAGTCCGGAGTTCAATTCTTCGTTGAGCCATTCCTCTGTTCCATCCCTTTTTTGTGCCGATTATCGGACATTCGCATCCGGTCATGCCCATGGTCTGATGGCATAGTGGTAACGTGCTCTACTCGCATAGCTGGCGGGAAACTGAATAATAGAGGGTCCAGAGTTCAAATCTCTGTCGGGCCTTGCGTTTTGTCCATCGAGGATTCACGTTTGAACGGTTCAGTGGCGTAACGGTATCGCACTCCGCATTCCTATGTAGCTCACAGTATGCTTTTACGGAGAGTTCGGAGTTTGAGTCTCTGCTGAGCCATTCCTCTTTTTGTTACTTCCACAAAATTGCTGCTTGGCCGCTTCCGTGGATGGATTTCTCTAACGGCTTGGTGGCGTAATGGTAATGTGTTCCGTGTCATTCTAAAACACTTGTATATTGTTTGACAGAAAGTCCGGAGTTCAATTCTTCGTCAAGCCATTAGTTGGGTCCAGATAATATTTTAACTCGGAGTTGCTGGTGGTCATTTTGAGTTCGACTCTTGAATGGCTTGGTGGCGTAATGGTAACACGCTCCATATCCTTATGCAACGTTTGCATATTGTTGGACAGAAAGTTCGGAGTTCAATTCTCCGTCAAACCTTTGACGGAAACCCTTCTTTTATTACTGCTTTTTTGGATATCGATTCCTATGGCTTGATGGCATAATGGTAACACGCTCTGTGTTGTTTTACAGCATTTGTATATCACAAGACAGACAGTTCGGAGTTTGATTCTCCGTAAAGCCATTGGTTGGGTCTGGGTAAATGTGTTGCTTTGGCGTTATTCGAGCTTGATTCTTGAACGGCTTGGCACTGGTTGAAGCTTTCAAATTTTTGACTGAAAAAATTGGTGAAAAATGTTTTGAGTTTTACAGAGGTTTTTCGCCAAAAATGTAGGTGAAAAACTTGAATCATTTTCAAAAGTTTCTCAACTTTAGGTGAAATTTTCAAAATAAAATGGAAAACTGCTGAAAAACTCTTGAGTTTTTCACCTACATTTTTGGCGAAAAACTTGTGTAGAATTTAAAACATTTTTCACCAGTTTTTTCAGTCAAAAATTTGAAAGCTTCAACCAGTGTGGTGGCATAATGGTAACGCGCTCGTGTCCTTTATGTAATGTTCATATATTGTTTGCGGTGAGTCCGGAGTTCGATTCTCCGTCAAGCCATTGCGTCAAAAATATTTCTTTTGTTGACCAGCTTGGTGGTGTAGCGGTAACACATTCCGAATTCCTACATAGGTGTTTCATTCTCAGAAGGTACAGAGTTTGATTCTCCGTCGAGCCATGTCTGGGTAAGGTGGCCTTTTTATTATGCTCTCGGAGTTTGGTGTTTTGAGGTCACGTCAGGAGCTATCACAATGTGATGGCTCACATTGTGATTGAAGTGTTACTCCTGTCTGGAGAGTTCCTCTTTGGAGTTACTTCCTGTAGTACAAAATCAACCAAGTCGTCTCGGCTTTGGTCTCCTTTAGACCTATACTTGAGTCTAAAAAGACCCTAGCTCATCAGGACCAACTAGAGGGGCAGTAAAAAGAAGGTGTTTGGTGTTCAAAGTTCAATTATTTGGGTAGTTGGAGTGTTGGCCATCTCATTACTTCGATTTGGTTCAATTCTCAGTCACTCGATGGTTGGGTTTTTGTTCGTCATGCACTCTGCAGCCCTAGACCCTGAGCAACCCTTTCACCGGACCGCGCCCTAGGGCTGCGGGAATGCCCAGAATAACATGTGTAGTCACGCATCGATCACTCAGAACCGGCGTCCACCAAACTGAATGCCAATGGATTCAGACTAACCGTTCAATAGATTATTGATCGATTGGCGTCAAGTTCCGTCCGCGCATCGTCTGCATACTTGAGGACTCGAGCCTGCACATCTTAGGTTACTGTTACTACTAGGTATCGGATCAATATCTCTCTCTGCGGCGCATTGATTATAGATGAAGGCTTGAGTCGATTTTCTTTCCCCTGCGAGCTAGCTGGGATGGCACTTCGATCCCAGTTGGGATAGTTGGCGCGTCAAACACGCAGTGCAGCTTCCGCTTTTTTAAAGCATGTATTTGGTTAGTCCTGTTGTTACAAAGGGGTTCCGATCGGGTTATCCGCTTATTACCAATCATCTTTCTAGCATTAGGAATCATATATTTTCAGCGGACAACGATGCAGACTGATACTGTACCCTGCTGCAAAGAGTTCTGTCTCTTCAAAATTCCGCAAATTGGCCGGGGTGTTTTGCTATTCAACAAGTTTGATGGTCAGTTTACAGGCATTTGCCAAATGATTGGCAAAAGATTGGTAATCACCCGCCAAATGATTGGTAATAAGTGAATAACTCGATCGGACACCCGTGATAACCAACAGACTTCAACAAAGCGAGGTACGAGCTCATTTTGTTGAAGCGTCTGTCTACGAGAGACTAGTATTTGGTGCGGACTGCGCCCGGATACGGCGTGTTCGATATACGTGTACGGGCGTGTGTTCGATGTACGAATGGGGTATGTATAGGGCACACGTTTCATTTTCATTATGTCGCCTTCGACTTCAGGCGTACACTACCCGCACACTCCGTGCGCCATGTCTCTCCTGTACCGCGGCGCTGCAGCGGCTGAGCGCTCGTGGCAGCGCCTGCTGTCACATTTCATTAATCCTGCCAGCGGGCTATCCGATCGCCGCCTCAGATTCAGCACCAAATTCTGACAGCATCTCTCTAGCAGGCCATGGCAGGCTTCTGGAAACACCGCAGCTGTTCTGAATTCCACATTATCTCCGCACTGTTTCCAGGAGTTGCTGACGGAATAATACTTCGCCAGCATGCGATTCTGCTGTTTCGGGGACCAGAATGGGGGCCCGCAAGCATGTATGTGTTGAAGAGGAGGGTGAGGATATATTGCTGGCCCATGGATGTATAAAACGGGGTTATTACACAGCTTCCGTGAGCGCCCAATATGCGCCCACCGAAGCGCTGGGTTCTCGGACAGGTGGTATTCACGTTGCACACGTTCAGATCAACATCCCTATTATTGTTGCACGGCGCCAGAGCCTAGAGGTCCGGAAGTAGGACCACGTCAATACCGCGTAGCTCGCTGTCATATAAGATGGACACCCTGGATCTCATTCCTGGTCCTAACCGTCACAGCCATGTCGAAATATAAGTATCTCGAATGGTATGGAAAGCAGCGCTGTCTCAACTAGCATCCATCTTCATAGTAATCGATGGGTGTCTTCCGTCCGCATGAGGATTCGAGCCTGCGCGCGTCGTAAGTTACTGTTACTACTAGTTATCGATCGATATTTCTATGCGGTGCACTGCTTGAATCGATTTTTTCTGTGCGAGCTAGCTGGGACGGCACGGCACACCGCACGCCGCGGTCGCCCGGTCCCCGCTGGGACTAGTCGGAACAGCGCAGCTTCCGCGTTTTTAAAGCATGTATTTGGTGGGGCTGTGTACGCATACGGCGTGTTCGATGTACGTGTACGGGCGTGTCGCATGGGGTGTGGCCCGGGGGCACATGTTTCATTTTCATTTTTTATGTCCGAGTCGCCAAGTTCGACTTCAGGATTATACCGTCCGCATACGCCAACTTGGGATCCCCAGCGCACCGGCACACACGGTGGCGCTGCGGCGGCCGCTGTCAGCGCTGGCTGTCATATTTCATTAATTCCAACCAAGCGCCTATCCGATAAGATTGCCGCCTGAGATTCAGCGCCAAATTCTGACGGCGTCTCTGTGGCTTCTGGAAGCGTCGCAGCCGTTTTTATTTCCACATCTCCGCACTGTTCCCGGGAGCTGCTGACGGAATAATACTTCGCCGGCGTGCGACTGTGCTGCTTCGGGGACCAGAATGAGGACCAGCAAGCACATATATATTAAAGAGCTAGAGGATGATAGATCATCGACCTCTGAATGTTCATAGCTAACATTATGCCGTTGTCACACAGCTTCCGTGAGCGCCCAATACGTGCCAAACGAAGCTCTGGGTTGTCCGACAGATGGTAATCATGTTCCACCTATTGAGATCCCCGGGGACTCATGATTGGGGCAAATCTTCACAGCATCACACAGCCGTCCGGCAGAACGCCACCCCGATACTGCCTGGACAGCCGCGATATAAGATGGACTTCGTGAATGTCATTCCTGTCTCCAACCATCAAAGCCATGTCGAAAATGTAAGTGTCTTGAATGCTGTGAAGAGCAACTGCTGATTCAGGCTGGCTCAACTAGCATCCACCTTCACGGTGATCATCTTCTTATTGCCTTTGTGTCAAGCACTCAATTCTCTCCCGCAGGTATTAGAATCAGGTCCCTGACCGATCCCCACGACGATCTGCCTGCGGATGTGGAAATGTTTGCTCACCTCGTCATCAACGGGAACATTTTCCTGCAAACCGTTCCGGTGGAGTCAGAGGCCTCTCAAAGCAGTTGGAAACTGCATTTTGGATGCAACATGTGAGTTCTTGGTGGTTTTCAACCAGGGGACATCTGCCATAACATTTATTTCTTGTACAGCCCCCAATACACCCTTGACTTCTTGGTAGCAATCTTGCGCCACAGCAAAACTGCGGGCACAAGGCTTCTAGGGTCTGCCGAAATTGGAAGAGGAGAAGTTCTTGCATTGGTAGAAGCAAATCACCGTAGGTGGAATCTCTCGTGGTTGGACCTGGCCACTGATGATTACAATGTAGCTTTCAAAATCATGCTCAATAGAGTAAATCCTGATGGCCCTCTCCTCGAACTCAGTGCTAGTTTCACTGCTTCCGAGGGGTCTGCCTTGCCCCTATCTGGCTTTTACGTGAATAACATTGGGGAAAATCGAAGTGAGATAGCATTACAGCCTGTTGAACTATTTCCTGAGCTTCCATAGTTACCTCGGTCAATAATCGCGGAATCACTGCTGATCTACTCTCCATGAAGACCGAAAGTCCCGTGAATCCCCTGCAGCTTTGGGTGATGCATGAGAGGCTTCTTCTGCTCCCCCCAAGCAATGAAACCAGGGCTAGATGCCTGAACATACTCGGGGACATTTGTCGACAGTGGTACACCAACACTGGAACTGTGGATGGCCTTAACCAGGCAGTCTGGGTCTACACCGATGCGGTGCGGGATGATCCGATGTCTGCGATGTTTCTGTCAAATCTTGGCATAGCTCTTCATGATCGCTTTGAACGGCTTGGAAATGTGGTCGATATCAACCAGGGGAAAGAGATATCTAAAGCTGCTGTCGCGGTGACTCCAGCAGGCCACCCAGCCAAGCCTACACTGCTGAACAATCTTGGCAGTTCTTTGAGCCGTCGATTTGAGTGGCTTGGTGAGCTCACCGATCTCAATGAGTCTGTGACCACATTCAAGGCTGCTGTCAGCCTCACTTCAGAGGGCCACCCAGACATACATGCACATTTGAACAACCTTGGAAATTCCCTGCTCACTCGCTTTAAGCGGCTTGGTGATCTTACCGATCTCAATGAGTCTGTGACCACATTCAAGGCTGCTGTCAGCCTCACTCCAGAGCGCCACCCAGACATGCCTTCATGTTTGGACAACCTTGGAAGTTCCCTGTTCAGGCGCTTTGAGCAGCTTGGCGATCTCACTGATCTCAATGAGTCTGTGACCAAGCGGAAGGCTGCTGTCAGCCTCACTCCAGAGGGCCACCCAGACATGCCTTCACGTTTGAACAATCTTGCCTATTCTTTGAGCCATCAATTTGAGCGGCTTGGTGATCTCACCGATCTCAATGAGTCTGTGACCAAGCAGA